CATTTTTTTATTATTGTTGCCTGCATAAAAACATTGTTGCTAACTTTGTCAGAATACTGAAATCTGAACATCTCCACTGTGAACACAGAAGCAATTTCATTTTAAAGTGGCAAAGTGCAGAGTTTCTAATAAAAATGTAATTTGTAGCCTCTGACTGCAAATGCTTCTGTTTGTGCTAATTCTCATTTAAGTCACTGTAAAATATGTGACATGTCAGCTTAAACAGCTGCAATATCAGGCTTTAGTTTTCATTATTTTTTTTTTCCTATAACAGTTTTGGTAAAATTAAAATGCATCAGTAATAATGTTTCACTTTTCTCTCATTATCAAATTAGTTTTACTACACTGCCTCAACCTAAGTTAGATGACTTAAGTACCATTTAAAAGTCAACCATTGTGTTGTTTTAAATCGTTCCAACAAGGTATTCTTGGATGCACAATAATTAATCTCTTATGCCATCTTTACTGCATTTGGGCAAAAAGGTGGAACAAGTTTTCTATAGGTCGAGCATGATAGTAGAGTGGTACATGCTGTCTGCCGCCGTGGGGCTGATGGTCCTGCATCCTGCATCCTTACCCTCCGCACCGGCTGCAGCCCCGGTTCCCAGCTGGCACGTTATGGTTGCAGCCTGTCACATGTTAACACTGATGGGACAGCGAGCACAAGGCTTTGCAGGATGTCTGAGGAGAGTTTTCTTTCCTTGCTTCCTTATCCTTTACCAAATAAAAGTTTTCTCCTTCTAATTTGCTTCGGGAACCTGATGCTTTCCCCAAGAAGAATGTGTTTGGTTCTGCCAAACCCCTTAACTGTCACACAGTTAAAAAGCAGCAGCTGGAGATAATTCAGATAGTCAGGGACATCCCTAAATACTTCATTGGAGGACACCCACTTTGTACCTGCACATACTTCCGAGTACAAAATCACCAGAGTCCATGAGGTACCCTTGCTGTGCAAACAGGAGGATCTGTTTAGTGATCTCTTTCACAGATGTAAATGCTGCGCTACTTGATTTGTGAGTTCTTGCAGCAGAGTGGGATTTTGCTGGGATGTCAGCACAGTTTTGGGGTATCTACGAGCTTTGTGAAACAGATTCTTGGGCTGCTGGTACCAATGAAGCAAATAAATCTGCTCCTGCTGTTGTTCAAAAGGCTGCTTCCAGCTCTGCCTCCTGCCACTTGGCCCCCTGCTCCCTGCCCATCCTTTTGCAAGCTCTGCCTTACCAACTGCCTTGCAGTTCCTTTGCTGAACCTCTTATGTCCGTTTTTATCTCATCGGCAGATCTGAATAATCACACAAAAGTGCTACTGAGAGCTTTTTCCAGTTCTTCTCTGTCGATGATAACTCATCCAGGGCTTATATTGACAGATTAATGTGGGGCTGGCTGCAGCAGGGCCGGTTGCTGGAGGCTGCTCCCAAGCACGCCGCCTGTGATCCTGCACTGTCTGACTCTGAACCCATTTGATCATTGTAGGGGGTCAAACGCTTGGCTCGAGCCTTTTTTATGTTTGTGTTTCTCTCAGGCAAATGGGGCTGAAAAAAGAAACTGGAGGGACCAAAAAGTGGAGCGTTCTCACGAAAAAAAATAGATGCAAAACACAAAGCACCATTTGTGCTCGAATTTGGAGGGTTGAGGGGAAGGACAGCGCTGTTCAGCTGCTATAGATGACTTGATTTTCTTCAGCTGGAGAAATGCTTTGATTCTATTCTATTGTTAATTAACCACTCTGAGAAAAAAATACATTCGTAGATTAGGAGGGAGACTGCTTCAGGACTCTGTGCTGACTTCTGCCAAGGCTGGCAATCTCCTTCTGGTTCTTGTTCACAGGTGCAAATGCTCTGGAGACCAATTCAAGGGTAGATCGCTGCTGCGGAGCTGATGGACCCCCCGCTACCAAAACCTTGCCACATAAAACCAATACACCCGGCAAGAAATCCTCATTCTTCTTCTGGCAGGAATGTTCTTGAGGGGTTGTCTCTGTCAGTCTGTCTTTAACCGTGGAAATTCAATTTTTTATGCGTATATGGACATGGAAACACACAAACAGTTCTGTTGGTGGAAATACCTGGCTCTTTTCATTGAGAAAAGCGGTGCAAACTGGAACTGGTTCATATTTTGGTTAAAGATCACCCAAGACATCTCAGTAGGGATGTTTGTACTTGCAATTTCGCATATGGTGAGGATAGCAGCTTGTGCCTACGAGTAGCTGTAAATGGCCAAACCTTATTAAAAAGCCATGTTGTAGTTGGAAAAGTTGACTGCATCTTTTAGAGGACTGTTTGCGTTTGAGGTCAGTTATTTTTACTTTTCCATTTTGTTCTAGTTAAATATTTTTACTTGCTCTCAGAACAATAGCTCCCACCACACTGAAGCCTTCACATAGTGCAGTAGCTTTTCATACGTCCTCCCATAGCAATGCATTCAGCGCCCAAGGGTCTCATCTCTTTAGTTTAGCTAAATATAGACTTTTCAAGCCCTTGTATAGAGCCTAATCCATACCTTTACTAAGCTTAACAAGCTGAATCCAGTGGCTTAAGCAGCTGATGCAGCTTTATGGGTAGAGGAATCCTCTACATTCTCTTATGCTTGCTCTAATCTGCCAGGGTTTGTTTAAATTTTCTGCTGCTTAATCTGGTATTTTACTGCCTGTACGTACTTGACTCTGAGGACTGGATTGTTGCAATGATTTTTCCTGTCTGCAAACTTACTCTTCAGTTTTCCATGCGGTCTGCTCAGGGAGACCCAATAATTTTGTATTTTTTCAAGTAACTGTTTAATAAAAAAACGATCATCCAAATCTGCAGTTGCTTTTACATGATTCAGAACTAATGTCTGGTTTACCAGCCTGTTCACAGGCTGAACTCACAAAAATGAGAGTTTCTCTGGCTTTGGTTGCAAAGCTTCTCTCACCCTGTACTCTTTGGCTTGGAGGGAGCTGGGTCCCATACACACACTGGCGGCTGCAACAGGATGAAAATATCCACTAAGGTTTCTGGCGGAATCTTATTTTGACAAAACATTTACAATGGTTATAAAAAAGATTTGTTTCCATATCTTAGCTAGTTTGGCTTTTTCCAGCTTGCTTGCAGACTCAATATGGGTTTTGTTGATGGTCTTTTCTAAAAGCAAGTAGATCTGTGGTTTGTAGTCATGATGCATACAGTTACACGTCACTGCATGCCTTGGATTCAAAAGTTCTTTCAAATGCACCTTTGTAAACAGAGAGGGTCATAGTGTATTTTAACAGTTACTTCTCCTGCCCCAAGCATGCACGTGTTTGCGTGTGTGCTCACGTACACCATGTGCATGCACACACCTGCACACCCCCTGCCAAAGTCATCAAAAGAGCTCTGAGCTCCATGGAGCCAGGTAGCTGGTTCACAACAGTGGTGACTTGCAAGGCTTAAAAAGGCATAGGAGAGGTGGGCATGCATGATCATACATTGTCCTTCCTTTATCCATGCACCTTCCTGTCTGCCAGCAACCAGGAGTTTAGGGCATCTAAACCATCACATTTAGTAATTACCAGTGTATCCAACCTACATGAATTTCTCCAATTATTTAACTTGTTTGTAATTTTGGACATGGTGGTATCGTTGCTTGACATTGTGGTATTGAGCTTGAAAGCAATGAGAATGGTTTGAGAGATTCTGTAAGTCACTTGACAGAACTGACCCACCCTGTTGTCTTGCCGGTGGGAGAGGAGCAAACATCCTCTCCTCTGCTTCCTATGGGTCAAAACCAGCAGCCAAAAACTCTCATCTTTCTGCACTAATCGCCGCTTTGCACTGCCGGTGGGATGCAAGGAGGCTGAACGCTACCACATGCATGGAGATGGCATTGCCGTGACATGTTTCCAAACCCTTTCTCTGGCAGAACAGATATATCGGTGTTTTCTGCTAACTGAAGAGCACTGAGAAGGCATTTCAGGATGTGAGGTAGAGAAACTCCAAGAGTGCTCTTATCGTAGTGTGATCTAGCCTTGTTTGTGCAGGTTTAAGGTGAAGCTACCTTTGTTGCCTCTCGTGGATCCTCTTGCCTAGTTGAGCTCTTATGGAGCCATGACACGAGGGCTGTATCTCACAGCACCCAGCTGAAACTCTTTTTTTCTGTTGCAAATGTGCCTTGCAGCCTGGGCCACTTCAGACTGAGCAAGCAGGAGCAGAATCCTGTTTGCTTTCCCTA